ACCTGACCCCACACCTGACCCACACCTGACCCCACACCTGACCCCATAACTGACCCACACCTGACCCACACCTGACCCCAGAGATCATCGAGAAGGTCCAGCGGCCGCCCCCCCTGTGCCGCCCTGCGGTCTCGGCCGACCAGGCCCCGCTCGAGTGCATCCACCTGATGAAGGAGTGCTGGAGCGAGCAGCCCGAGAAGAGACCCACCATCGACCAGGTGTTCGACCAGGTGAGGCACACCTGGGGCAGGTGAGGCACACCTGGGACTGGTGAGACCAGTATGGGACAGGTGAGACCAGTATGGGACCAGTATGGGGCACTGGGACTGGTGTGGGGTGGTGGATATGAGACCAGTATGGGACAGCCATCGACCAGGTGTTCGACCAGGTGAGGCACACCTGGGGCAGGTGAGGCACACCTGGGACTGGTGAGACCAGTATGGGACAGGTGAGACCAGTATGGGACTGGTGTGGGACAGGTGAGACCAGTATGGGACCAGTATGGGGCGCTGGTGTGGGGTCCATGGAGTTTCCCTGGAGTTCTGTGGGGTTCCACGGGGTTCCATGGGGTTCTATGGGGTTCTGTGGGGTTCCATGAGGTTCTATGGGGTTCCATGGGGTTCCACAGGGTTCCATGGGGTTCTGTGGGGTTCCATGAGGTTCTATGGGGTTCTGTGAGGTTCCATGAGGTTCTATGGGGTTCTGTGAGGTTCCATGAGGTTCTATGGGGTTCTGTGAGGTTCCATGAGGTTCTATGGGGTTCTGTGAGGTTCCATGAGGTTCTATGGGGTTCTGTGAGGTTCCATGAGGTTCTATGGGGTTCTGTGAGGTTCCATGAGGTTCTATGGGGTTCTGTGAGGTTCCATGAGGTTCTATGGGGTTCTGTGAGGTTCCATGAGGTTCTATGGGGTTCTGTGAGGTTCCATGAGGTTCTATGGGGTTCTGTGAGGTTCCATGAGGTTCTATGGGGTTCTGTGAGGTTCCATGAGGTTCTATGGGGTTCTGTGAGGTTCCATGAGGTTCTATGGGGTTCTGTGAGGTTCCATGAGGTTCTATGGGGTTCTGTGAGGTTCCATGAGGTTCTATGGGGTTCTGTGAGGTTCCATGAGGTTCTATGGGGTTCTGTGAGGTTCCATGAGGTTCTATGGGGTTCTGTGAGGTTCCATGAGGTTCTATGGGGTTCTGTGAGGTTCCATGAGGTTCTATGGGGTTCTGTGAGGTTCCATGAGGTTCTATGGGGTTCTGTGAGGTTCCATGAGGTTCTATGGGGTTCTGTGAGGTTCCATGAGGTTCTATGGGGTTCTGTGAGGTTCCATGAGGTTCTATGGGGTTCTGTGAGGTTCCATGAGGTTCTATGGGGTTCTGTGAGGTTCCATGAGGTTCTATGGGGTTCTGTGAGGTTCCATGAGGTTCTATGGGGTTCTGTGAGGTTCCATGAGGTTCTATGGGGTTCTGTGAGGTTCCATGAGGTTCTATGGGGTTCTGTGAGGTTCCATGAGGTTCTATGGGGTTCTGTGAGGTTCCATGAGGTTCTATGGGGTTCTGTGAGGTTCCATGAGGTTCTATGGGGTTCTGTGAGGTTCCATGAGGTTCTATGGGGTTCTGTGAGGTTCCATGAGGTTCTATGGGGTTCTGTGGGGGTTCCATGAGTTTCTATGGGATCTCCATTGGGATCCATGGGTCTCTGTGGGATCCTATGGGGTTTCCTTGGGCTTCCATGGAGTTGCCATGGGGTTCCATGGGATTCTGTGGAGTTCCATGGGGTTCCATGGAGTTTCCATGGGGTGTCCTTGGGCTTCCGTAGGATTCTATGAGGTTCCATGGGATTCTATGGGTTTTCCATGGGGTTCTATGGGATTCTATGGTGTTCCATGGGATTCTATGGAGTTCCATGGGGTTTCTGTGGGGTTTCCATGGGGTTCCACGGGATTCTAAGAGGTTCCATGGAGTTGCCATGGGGTTTCCATGGGGTTCCATGGGTTTCCATGGGATTCTATGAGGTTCCATGGGGTTCCATGGAGTTTCCATGGGATTCTATGAGGTTCCATGGAATTGCCATGGGGTTTCCATGGGGTTCCATGGGATTCTATGAGGTTCCATGGGGTTCCATGGGTTTCCATGGAGTTTCTATGGGTTTCCATGGGATTCTATGAGGTTCCATGGGATTCTATGAGGTTCCATGGGGTTCCATGGGATTCCATGGAGTTTCTATGGGTTTCCATGGGATTCTATGAGGTTCCATGGGATTCTATGAGGTTCCATGGGGTTCCATGGGATTCCATGCCACCCAGATCTATGGGGCAGGAGAGGACAAGGGAGAAATGGGGCAGGAGAGGTCAAGGGAGGTCACCAGGAGAAGGTTGGGGTCAGCCTTGACCCACTGACCCCACCCAGATCTATGGGGCAGGAGAGGACAATGGGGGGCCACCAGGAGAAGGTTGGGGGTGATCTTGACCCACTGACCGCTCTCTGGACCTAGGAGAAGGTCAAGGTGGTCACTGAGGACAGGTTGTGGTCAGCCTTGACCAGTGGAGCCACCCAGACCTCTGGGTCAGCAGATGGTCAAAGTGGCCCCTGGACACCCTTGTGGTCAACCTTGATCCCCACGGGTCACCAGAAGGTCCCAATGGCCACATTGGCCACTCTTTGACCACCGAGACCCCCCGGACGCTCTGGCTGCCCCCTGGGTGACCGCTGGGTGACCCCTGGGTGACCCCCGGGCAGGTCGGTGGCCGAGGCGCTGAAGATGGGGACGCCGGTGGAGCCCGAGTACTTTGAGGAGGTGACGCTGTACTTCAGCGACATCGTGGGCTTCACCACCATCTCGGCCATGAGCGAGCCCATCGAGGTGGTCGATCTCCTCAACGACCTCTACACCCTCTTCGACGCCATCATCGGCTCCCACGACGTCTACAAGGTGACCACGGGGTGGTCACTCGGTCCTGGGGTCACGGCTGTGGGGTGGTCACCTCAGGATGGGGGTTGGGGTCAGCGGTGGTGGCTACAAGGTCACCATGGCAATGGTGGCCATGGTCAGCCTGGTCATGTGGTCATGGGTGGTCACCTCAGGATGGGGGTTGGGGTCAGCGGTGGTGGCCATGGTCAAGGTGGCCCCGTGGACCTGCCAGAGGTGACCTCATGGGCGTGGCCAAGGTGACTCCACGGAGCTGCTCAAGGTGGTTCCATGACAAAGGTCAAGGTCACGGTGGTCCAAGCCATGGTCCCACCTGGACTTTGGCCACCAAGAGAAGCTGTGGCCACCAAAGGGAGGTTCTGGGGGATCCCTGTGGCTCTTGGTGGCATCTACAATGTGGTGACCATACTCAAGGTGACCCCATGGTGGCCCAAGCCATGGTCCCACCTGGGCTTTGGCCACCGGTGCTGGACATGACCACCAAACGAAGACGCTCTGTGGTCCCCACGGTCTTTGGTGGCACCTACAAGGTGATGGACGAGGTGACCCCATGGCCACGGTCAGGGTGGCCCCGTGATGGTCCAATCCATGGATCCGCCTGGACTTCGGCCACCAAGAAGAGCTGTGGCCACCACATGAAGATTGCCGGTGGTCCCCGTGGTCTTTGGCAGCACAATGTGAGGGTCAACGCGACCTCATGCTGCTCCAAGCCACCCTCTTGGCTTTGGCCACCAAGCAGGGACGTGGCCACCACACGAAGACCACCGGAAGAACACGGGCGTGTCCTGGTGGGCGTGTCCACCCCCTGAGCCCCCCCCCCCCCCCCCCCCGGTGCCATCCCGGCCAGGTGGAGACCATCGGCGACGCCTACATGGTGGCGTCGGGGCTGCCCAAGCGCAACGGGAACCGGCACGCCGGCGAGATCGCCAACATGTCCCTGGACATCCTCAGCTCCGTCGGCACCTTCAAGATGCGCCACATGCCCGAGGTGCCCGTGCGCATCCGGATCGGGCTGCACTCGGGTACGGCCCCGCCCCGCGCCCCATCGGCTGCCCCGGCCACGCCCCGGCCACGCCCAGGCCACGCCCCTGAGTTGTGTTGGTGGAACGGAGGGTGGTGGCGCGTTGGCCAACGGTCAATGGGGTCGCGTTGGGCGGAGCCCGTTGGTTATCGCCTGTCGGCCACGCCCTTGGCTGCACCCATCGGTGTCACCCTTACGGGCCACGCCCACCTCGCGCACGCTCAATGGCCACGCCCCTTCTCGGCCACGCCCAGCTTGCAGCTCTTGGCCAACGCTCAACGGCGTGGTGAGCCATCGGCCCCATTTGGGTCACTCCCGTTTTGGGCCACGCCCCAAAGACCACACCCACTGAGGCCACGCCCTCGTTTGTCACACCCTCGTTGGCCACACCCATCTGTGACCACGCCCAAAGGTGCCACACCCATCTAGGGCCACGCCCAACTCCTTGGCCAACCCTTGGTGCTCATTCCCTGTTGACCTCAACCCCTTCCGTGATCCCACCTGAGACCCCGCCCCTTTGTGACCCCGCCCCTTTTGGACCCCGCCCCTCTGTGACCCCGCCCCTGACTTGGCCCCGCCCCTGACTTGGCCCCGCCCCCAGGGCCGTGCGTGGCGGGCGTGGTGGGACTGACCATGCCGCGGTACTGCCTGTTCGGGGACACCGTCAACACCGCGTCGCGCATGGAGTCCACCGGACTGCGTGAGTGACAGCTGGGGACAGCTGGGGACACACCTGGGGACACCTGGGGACAGATGGGGACACACCTGGGGACAGCTGGGGACAGCTGGGGACAGATGGGGACACACCTGGGGACAGCTGGGGACAGATGGGGACAGATGGGGACACACCTGGGGACACCTGGGGACAGATGGGGACACACCTGGGGACACCTGGGGACAGCTGGGGACAGCTGGGGACACACCTGGGGACAGCTGGGGACAGGGGGACATGGACAGATGGACAGGGGGACAGGGGACAGGGACAGATGGACACGGACACTGGAACACAGCTGGGGACAGCTGGGGACAGATGGACAGGGACACATGGACACGGACAGATGGACAGGGGGACAGGGACAGATGGACAGATGGACAGGGACACAGTTGGGGACACCGCGGGGACACGGTGGGGATGGGGACAAGGGGATTTGGGACAGGGGGACACAGACACGGACAGGGGGACAGGGGACACCCCGGGGACAGATGGACAGTGAGACAGGGGACAGGGATGGGGGACACGGCCAAGGGATGCCCGGACACCGCTGGGGACACCCAGGGACACACCTGGACACACCTGGGCACACCTGGGCACACCTGGGCACACCTGGGACACACCTGGACACACCTGGACACACCTGGGACACATCTGGACACACCTGGGCACACCTGGCACACACCTGGGGACACCTGGGGACACATCTGGACACACCTGGACACACCTGGGGACACCTGGGGACACATCTGTACACACCTGGACACACCTGGGGACACATCTGGACACACCTGGGGACACCTGGACACACCTGGGCACACCTGGGACACACCTGGACACACCTGGGCACACCCGGCACACACCTGGGGACACCTGGGGATACATCTGGACACACCTGGCACACACCTGGGGACACCTGGGGACACATCTGGACACACCTGGACACACGGCCATGGGACACAGCCATGGCGACACTGACAGGGGACACGGCCACGGGGGTTTTGGGGGGTTTCAGGGTTTTTGGGGTGATTTTGGGGTTTTTTGGGGGGTCTCTGATTCCTCTCTCCCCTCCCCAGCCGATCACACCCAGGTGACCCCGCCCCGGGCACTGGGGACGGGCTGGGGGTGTTTGTGGGGCCGGGGGGTGTTTGTGGGGCCGGGGTTGGTCCGTGTGGGTTTTTTGGGGTGTTTTGGGGTTTTTTGGGGGGTCTCTGACCCCTCTCCCCCCCCCCAGCCTATCGCATCCACGTGAACCAGCGCACGGTGGCCATCCTGCTCTCGCTGCAGGAGGGGTTCAAGGTCGACATCCGCGGCAAGACCGAGCTCAAGGTGAGCCCAAAACGGCCCCGAATCACCCCAAAACCGCCCGAAAAAACACAAAAAGGGCCCAAAACACCCCGGGAAACCACAAATACAGCCCGAAACACCCCAAAACACCCCGGGAAACCACAAATACAGCCCAAAAACCCCAAAATACAGCTCAAAACACCCCAAAACACCCTGAGAAACCCCAAATACAGCTCAAAACACCCCGAATACAGCTCAAAACACCCCAAAACACCCCGAGAAACCCTAAATAGAGCCTGAAACACCCTGAGAAACCACAAATACAGCCCAAAACACCCCAAGAAACCACAAATACAGCTCAAAAACCCCAAAATACAGCTCGAAACACCCCAAAACACCCCGGGAAACCCCAAAATACAGCCCAAAACACCCCAAAACACCTCAAATACAGCTCAAAACACCCTAAAACACCCCAAATACAGCTCAAAACACCCTAAAACACCCCAAATACAGCTCAAAACACCCCAAAACACCCCAAATACAGCTCAAAACACCCCAAAACACCCCAAATACAGCTCGAAACACCCCAAAACACCCCCCAAAAAACTGGAAAACCCCAAATACAGCAGGAAACACCCCGAGAAATCCCAAATATGGCTCAAAATACCCCGAGAAATCCCTAAACTCCCCCCAAAACCCCTGACCCCACACCTGACCCACACCTGA